TTTTTACAGCAGCAGCCCAAAACAATCTCCTAACACAAGGATTTTCTGCTTCCTGATCACGTGACGTGTGACGTACGCGGATAAAGATCAGCTTCAGAGCTGGGATGTTTGTTCTCACGGTTCCGATGACTTTAGTCATCACTGGCATTGAACGGTTGGATTTAAAATGACGACTTTTGTTGTCAATGGTAGTTAATGAGTTAAGCAGGTAAAGAACGCCCCCATAGGGCACCTACCCGCTCCGGCAGAGGGCTGCAGAGTGGTGTCATATAGAGCTCCGGACCCCACGTGACTCTCAGTTAGTGGACGCCATTTTGGCATGCAAAAAAAGGTAAACAAACACGGATGTAACCATGAACATGAACGGGATCCGCTTGGATTTTACTTCGTCGGAGTTTACTTCACACTTTAAAACAGAAGAAATCGTTTTATATAGCCAGAAATTAAATAGACTAAACATCTCCGACCCTTACCGTGCCCCTGGGATACTTTTTAAAAACGCCAGAAGCTGTCGGAGCGGCCTTCTTACCGGCTCAACACCGGACCTGACCGGGGAACCCCTTGGGATTCCCCCGGCCGGAGGAGCTGGGGAGAAGGTCTGGGACCCTCGACTCTACTGCCCGCTCCGACGCCAGAAGCTGTCGGAGCGGACTTCTTACCGGCACAACACCGGACCGACCGGGGAACCCCTTGGGATTTACCCGGAGGAGCTGGCTCCGGCGGCTGGGGAGAGGGAAGTCACGCTACTGCCCCCGCAACCCGACTCCGGATACGCGGATGAAAATGGATGGATGGACGGACAAATAACAGATTTACACGTAAGTAGTCTCGGTGAGACAGATAATAGCAATCCAAAGTGCTTTTTATGTGTGATCTGATCAACCATTGCTTAAAAATTAAATACAGCTTAGCCGGTTAATTGCTGTGATCATAAAACACGGAAACGGCAGCACGCAGAACTCACGAGGCAACGTTTTACGTGATGTTTACTTGTTGCTATGAGTAATAAGACAGAAAAAGCCACGCCAAAATAAGTTTAGGAAGCCCACTAAGAATCATAATAAAAGCATTTAAAATAAATACCATACACAGTTGAGGAAACGTTGGTTTAAATACCTGATATGAAGCGGTCGCTGCATAAGCGAAAACCTTTACTCTCGGGATCCCACAGTTTCATTTTCGCCCGGTCACTAGCGCGTTTTATTACAATGATCCAACGTTTGTGGCGCTCCGGATCCTGGGGAATCCTGTAGAAGGCTCATTCCTTATGTCGTCCGCGTCTGTTCTGCATCCTGGGGCACAACAGGAATCTACCATATTTCCCGTTTGATTGAGTTTTCTGACAATAACAAATAGTCCAGCTGCCGGCTTCTGCATGCCAATATGGCGCCGTTTCGATTTGAACTGTTGCATGCCGGGAGAAGTGACGTCAACTCCCGGAGCTCTATATGAAACTGATCAAGTTTCTGACTTTACAATCACTGAGATCAATGTTAAAGCTCTAGCTTAAAGTTTAAAAGACCATTTAATTTTATTTGAACGGGTTAGAATTCCTCCTAGGTTGCATGTTGTTCACTGCTTTTCAAGCCTGCGATGCCTTGCCTCTGTCAGTGTGCCCCAGGGCAGCTGTGGCTATACTGTAGCTCATCACCATCAGTGTGTGAATGTATGTTTGAATGGATGAATGATACACTGTAGTGTAAAGCTCTTTGGAGTTCTCTGACTCTAAAAGGTGCTATACAAGTGCGGGTCGTTTATCATTTATGCCGATTTAAACTACCTCAGCTTCTACCGGATCAAATTTGTTGCTCATTATATGTAAAACTGACTGAGTTTTGTTATGCTTGTGCTGGTGGTGGCTACATTGAAAGGGACAAAAGTACATCAGTTAAACATGTTAAATCCAATGATTTTTTTAGAGATGTTTTGCTAAAAGTAAAAAATTATAAATAAAGACATTAATGAAATATCTCTGGCAAGAGAGGCAAAAAGAGATCAGCAATCAGAGAGGAGTTTGTAAAGAGAAGCAACTGTGTGTGTGTGTGTGTGTGTGTGTGTGTGTGTGTGTGTGTGTGTGTGTGTGTGTGTGTGTGTGTGTGTGTGTGTGTGTGTGTGTGTGTGTGTGTGTGTGTGTGTGTGTGTGTGTGTGTGTGTGTGTGTGTGTTAGGGGGGTATCGAGGGTGGGTATCCCGTAGGGTTAATTACATCTCTGTTCTTTGTCAGTGTGGCTCTCTCCTCTGCGAACTGAGTCACTGCTGCAGGCTGACAGGCCACACACACACACACACACACACACACACACGCGCGCGCGCACACACAAACATGCACACACTCACATGATGATATACTCACAGCAAACCCACACGTTAACTCTCATACATGACGACACAGAGGAACGTTGGCTTTCTCCTTGTTTTTGTCTGTGCTTCTCTTCCTGAAACAGACAGTAAACACACTGCGGTGTTCCCCTGGAGAGGATGTGTTGTTCTGAGCCGTTATACATGAAGACGAAGGCACGCAATTGTAATAGCTGCTAATTTTGCATAAATCATGCATAACATGGCCCACATATAAATCACTCGTGTCAGCAGGAAATCAGTTTCCACCAATTCCTTCTTCGTCTTCTCCACGGGGAGCAAGAGCAGATTTACTTTTCATTGTTTTGTTTAATCTGTTATTGTTCTCTTTGACTTTGGGAGATGAAAGGAAAACATTCAAGGAAAACAAAAAGTATAAGCTCATTTATCAAAGATCAGGTGGTTTTTCTGCAGGTTTTTGATTCTGCTGGATAAAGACAAGCACTTGTCCACGACACCAACATGAGGACCTTTGTTGTCCTCCCCCACGGGGGTTAACTAACAAAAATCACCCTGAGGGCAGATGTCTAATAGTTCAGGAGGTCATAAAAGAACCTACAGTGGAACTTCTGAGATAAAGGTCCCTCTCAGATGTTAATGACATCATCAGGAGAAAACGGAATTACAACACCGTGTGTGGCGGGAAGACAAAGACCTCCGAGGATCTGATCTCCACAAAGGAACATCCTCGTCTGTCTGCACTTTAATAAAGCTGAAATGTTTCAAACGAACACATTTCTGCCCAAATTTGAATAAAAAAGTTGGAAAAACAAAGTATTACAGCACCTAAACTCCACAATAAAACACGTAAGTGGCAGTTTTATGGTTTGGGACATTTGTTCCAAACATTTCTAAAGAAGAAGAGGTTGCATCTGTTCATTACAGAGGCTGAGTCATGAAGTGGTTCATCAACTTAGAGTAGAAAACTTCACTTGGCTTCAAAAAGAAGGTATAACGGTACAAATGATATTTGGGTTCACACCGTTCCAGACTAACCCAGTAAGTATGAATAGTTTTACCAATAATGAATAATCTTTAGTTACCGTATACATGTATTTATTTTTCTGATTTAAGCCATAGAAATCTTTTACACAAGGCATTATGGGTAATATAGATATTTGAATTGTAATAGATGCTAGATTTTGGTTTGTTTCTTTAAAATCTCAAAATAAATAATTTTATTCTTAAAATAAAACTTCTTAGTTTTCAACAGCAACAAAAAGGGAGATTTAAAGAAGGTTTTCTGTGAATCTGTTGTCAGCTCACAGTCATCGCAGTTGTCCTCTGGAGTCAGAATTCAGAAGGAAAGATGAAAAAACATCAAAGACCTCCTTGTGAAGTGTGGAGATTCCTGCCCTCTATAAACGAGGAGCCTTTCACACACGTGACCAGACAAGTGTAATCCTCCTGACAAATCAGTAAATCTCCCTGTTGTTTGCACCTTTGTGGTTAAATCCCACTGAGACGCGTCCCAGAGAGCCTCGGCCCGCTTTATTAACCAGTTTTGCCTTAATTAGCTAATAGGATTGTTTCAACCATGATCCAAGAACAGAATAGCCCACAGGAAGACAAATACCAACTCTGTAAGAGTGTGTGTTGCACTCGCACCGTCTGCCTGCACAAACTGAGTTAGTCTTTGAAATGTGTGTGTGTTTCTGTGCACAAGTGCATACATTTGCTGTGATTGATTGCCACGTTTCTGCGTGCACGCTGTTGTGCTCATGCACGTGCATGCACATTTGTAATCTAAGGCAGCACAGCCTCCCTCTGCGCCTTAATTAACGAGCTTTCTTGCAAGACTTTCTCTGGAATATGAAACCATTTTACCTGATGATGCAAACGGCTGAAAACACTGGCTGGGTTTCTGCCTCGCCTCCTCACCTAACGCTTTCTTTTATGCGAGAGCATTAACGGATTCCAGCGCTACACTTGTAGTTTTTATATCTGTATATTTTAGCGGAGCTGCAATTGCCAACCGACTTATCTTGCTGCAGGAAATATGTGTGTGTGTAAGCAGAATCTTTGTACAGTGTGATGAAAAAGCTGTATCACAGCTTGGCAGTGACGTTCTTGCAGCACGAGAGCTGGCATACACACACACACACACACACACACACACACACACACACACACACACACACACACACACACACACACACACACACACACACACACACACACACACACAAACACTTGTGCACACATTTTTTAAGCCTTAGAAAGTCCAGGGAAAAGCTTGAAAAATGGGTATGAAAGAGACAAAACAGAAGACATATGAATGACAAACATGCACATTTGAGCTTGAAATGCTATCCAAAAATATAAAAGCTCAAATTTAATGTTTTACATCTGAAAACTTTTTTCTTTCCTTCTTTTTCAGTTAATAAATGCAGATATTTCATTCTCCACATCACAATGCACTCGTAGTCAAAGCACATACTAAAAAAAAAGACTATAAAACACCATATAGTCAATACAAGCTCAACAAATTATCCAAACTGCCTCCGTATGGACAAGCATGAGTCAATAAGACTGGAGAGGCCCTGTGTAGCTCGATGCAGCGTAATAAAAGATGGCAGCTCACGGTCAGATTGCAATGAAAGGAACCTAAAATTGATTTTCCTTCCTGTCCTTCTGTTGCAGTGTGGTGCGTGCGTTTCTCCCAGGAGCCTGCAGACCAGTCTGTGGTGCTGGGGGAACGGGTGGTGCTGTCCTGCGTCGTCTTCAACTACACCGGCATCGTACAGTGGACCAAGGACGGGCTGGCCCTGGGTAGTGGAGAGGGTCTCAAAGGTGAGGGAAAAGAATTCAATTCAATTCAATTCAAGTTTATTTATATAGCGCCAAATCACGACAAGAGTCATCTCAAGGCACTTCACATAATAAACATTCCAATCCAGGTCAGTTCATTAAGCGAATCAGAAAAAATGTTTCTTATATAAGGAACCCAGCAAATTGCACCAAGTCACTGACTAGTGTCAGTGACTATACAGCAATCCTCATACTGGCTCAGTATAAGCAGCCATTCGCCACGACTCACTGGGGATCGAGAAGACAAAGCAGACACACACACACACACACACACACACACACACACACACACACACACACACACACACACACACACACACACACACACACACACACACCAAGCAATGTGTCTATGGTTACATTGTGATTTCTTAAGAAGAGAAATCCGGTCTTACAAGGAGAAATAAGAAAACCTACAGCATGACCCAGCTGCAGGCATCAAAGTGAAGCAGAGAGGCGAAATAGCTCTGATGTGGTTTTGCTTCAGTTTTCACAGAAAGAAGCCTGACGAAAGCTTTTATGGTTGAAAAGTTATGGATTTCTTTGGAAATGAACAGTGAGTGACAATCTGGGCAAATGAACCCAGTGTATCTTGCTGAATTAGAGAAAATCCCTCACTCTGCTGACAAAAGCACACACACACATATTTACGTTTAAAGCCGACACGCACATCTGGGCGGACTTATTGAATGCCTGTTCCCTTTCAGAGATGGGTAGAACATTGCATGCAACCCAAAGTGAGTCAAGGGGTGTAATCTTAGCAGATGAATGATTATTTTAAATGATGAACAGAGAGTCTGAGATGCAAAGTAGAAGATTTAGAAAACAAGAGAAGAAGAAGAAAACTGTTGTTTACCAAATGAATGAAAAAAATAATCACATTTGCTCACTGAGTAGTGCCACAGTTGTCCTAAAACTGCAGCTTTTAGCCAAATTATGGTTTTTCCCCATGTGCTGTGAGTTTGGTACGATGTAGCACATTGTTTAAAAATGTTTATGTTTAGATCATTTACAGGCCCAAATATAAGTAAATAAAAACATTTTATAATGGAAAGGGTTAAGCACACTGCAGAATAATTTATCTATTTACTTGAATTTTGCTTTTGATTTAGTTTCTTCCTAAATCAGAACACACCCTCACTGGAGTATAGAATAGAATAGAATAGAATAGAATAGAATAGAATAGAATAGAATAGAATAGAATAGACAGATTGATCCCACAGTGGGGAGATTCCCTTACAGCACCAAGAGAATAATTTGAAGAAAAATAATAACACAGGTACATGTATAAACACATAGGCAGTAGACTATTATTGTATCCTTCGACCACTAAAAACTACAAATAAAAGATGAAGAACTTGGGTTCTAGAACTATGTAAATAAATATGTATGAGCGTTATGAAACTAGACATAAACAGCTAAATGACTGAAGAAGCATGGACTCATTTCCAGTTGCTGATAATGGAAAAAATACATTTTAAGACTAAGGGTGTAGAAAACTATTGACCCATCCAATCCAGCGAAAATGATAATTTTCTTGTATAAGTAACACATTTCCCCCTTCTACCTCCTACTGGTCAAAAGTGGAATTACAACTGTCGTAAACAACCCTGCTGCAGCCTGCTGTCGCTAGTGATAACAATGAGCTAACGCTAACACAAGCCAACTGATACTTAATAAGCCACAAAGTAAAAATAGCCACACTGTTGGACAAAAGATATTATTAATAGTATCAAAAGTCTAGTAGCAACAAAGCCAGGTCACCATCAGTCTGTGATTTTGCAGCCTCCTTCAGCTCCCTCAAACGAGTGTAGGCGGTCTCTGATTTTAGATCTTTGCTTCACCTCACTCCCAGGCTCAACCATGATGACATAAAGGAAAATAAATTCTTCTTCTTCTTCTTCTTCTTCTTCTTCTTCTTCTTCTTCTTCTTCTTCTTCTTCTTCTTCTTCTTCTTCTTCTCCTCCTCCTCCTCCTCCTCCTCCTCCTCCTCCTTCTTCTTCTTCTTCTTCTTCTTCTTCTTGAGCTGCTTATTGACAGTCGGTGAACTGATTAAGCTAACTGCTAGCCTTTACATTAGCAACTTGTGTTCCAACCAGATCCACAAAACTGTTAAGTGCAGTTTCTGATTCACACGGTTTACAGATCCTTTACATGACTACTTTGCTTATTTCTAATTTCTAAAAATCAGAAGTTTATGGTCCAAAAATACTTTTTAACTCATTCGCTGCCAGCCGTTTCCTGATCGGTAAAGTCCTTCGTTGCCAGCGTTTCTCACCGTTTTTACTGTTTTTTTAAGAGTCACCGAACGTTGCACGCTAGGATGATGTCGACGCCAAAACAACCAAAACAAAGAGGAGACTCACCTCTTACATCAGGAAGAATCATTGCGTTTCGAGCGTTATCCGTTCTTTCATAATCCGTTGTTGAATTGTGATCGGCAGAAGCTTTTCAGGTTCGTGCCTCACTTTTTTTACAGCAGAGGCCCAAAACAATCTAACACATGGATTTTCTGCTTCCTGATCACAATCGCAGCTTTAGAGCTGAGATGTTTGTTCTCACAGTGCGGGGGTCATTCTGACACCCACACAGTAAAAACATGCAAATGACAACTTTAGTCGTCATTGGCAGTGAATGAGTTAACACTGGGATTTTGACCTGGATCATAAAGTTTGGACATCTCTGATTTGGAGATTTCCCTGACACTTCAGGGTGAACACCCCAGGTTAGAACCAGAATTATATTGAGTTATTATTCACGTCACCTGGTCTGTGTTGTGCAACAAAGTTCCATTCAGTTTCGTGAGATCTACAAACAAAAGTGATCAGAAGTAAATAAGACATTTTTCTTGTCACTGAATTGTTTCCTGAAGTGGCAGATGAGTGTTTTTAGCCTGAAATAGCTCCCGTTTCTCCAGACTCATAACTTCACCTTCCTGTTGAACTGTCAGGCTGCTTAGGAACGGAAACGAGTCTCAGTCCTGGCTGCATTCAGCAAGGGACCTAAACTGCTGATTGAGATTGATACCTTTTGGCAGTGAAGAGAGCACTCAGAGGAAGTCTTGGTTCCCACCAACACATCCTCTGTCAAAGGAGGCAGAGCGTCACAGGAAGTTAAGGAGCTCTTCAGTGACAAGGCGCTGTGTCTGGGCAGCATTGTCCTCGAGCCAGTAAAGGCTCTGGATACCGAAGCGTCGGTGTGGCTGGCATGACATCTCACATCACGCTGAGGTCAGGAGAGTGCCAGGGATGGCAGAATAGGGAGAAACTGTCCTGTCGGCCCGGAGGTTTAGCACACTGGTCGGTGTGTTAAACCGTTGGTAAGCTAATGCCAGGAACAGCTAGAGAGCTTTCTCGTCTTTGCTTTTATCTGGTAAGGTGATTTGTTCTGGGAATATGAGGGAAAATTCCTACAAGCATTCATCCATATCCTCTTTGTAATTATGGATGGGGGACTGGTGTCAAGCCAGCCTCCAGTTTGTTTTCTGTTCCCCGTCTATTCAAGTTATTACGGGAATGGATGTGGAAACCGGGTTTCAAAATAAAATTCAACTTTGAGTGAATTATCAGATATTTTAAGAACATAATAACAAATAATTTAGGCTTGTTCACTATTAACGCCCTGTCAATATCAAGGCAATATTATTTTGGATTTCAAAGTAAATGCCCTGTGAATTTTCATTTTTGAACTACTCTTTCAATGACTTCAGAATGCTCGTAAAAGCAAAAGTCATATTTCCAAAGAATAATTGCATTTTGTATCAACACTATCAAACCACAGCAATTTGAAATTGCCCATATTTGACCGACTCTTTTGACGACTTCAAAATGCTCTAAAATGGAAAATTGCTGTTTCCACAGGGTAATTCCACTTTAGATCAACACTATACAACCCCACAGTGATACTATATCAATATCAAGTCATTCTAATGTTGCCTTCTAAAATAAAGGCCTTTTTAAATTGCCCATTTACAACCAAACTTTCAGTGATTTCAAAATACTCTAAAATAGAAAATTACTGTTTCCACAGGGTAATTCCACTTTATATCAACAGTATACAACCCCACAGTGATACTTTAGCAACATCAAGTCATTCTGATGTTGCCTTCCAAAATAAAGGCCTTTTTAAATTGTCCACAATTGACCAAATTTTCAGTGATTTCAAAATGCTCTAAAATAGAAAATTGCTGTTTCCACAGGGTAATTCCACTTTAGATCAACTGTATACAACCCCACAGTTATTCCTTATCAATATCAAGTCATTCTGATGTTGCCTTCTAAAATAAAGGCCTTTTTAAATTGTCCACAATTGACCTAATTTTCAGTGATTTCAAAATGCTCTAAAATAGAAAATTGCTGTTTCCACAGGGTAATTCCACTTTAGATCAACAGTATACAACCCCACAGTGATACTTTATCAATATCAAGTCATTCTGATGTTGCCTTCCAAAATAAAGGCCTTTCAAATAGTCCATATACGACCAAACTTTCAGTGATTTCAAAATGCTCTGAAATAGAAAATTGCTGTTTTCACAGGGCAATTCCACTTTAGATCAACAGTATACAACCTCACAGTGATACCATATCAATATCAAGTCATTCTGATGTTGCCTTCCAAAATAAAGGCATATATGGGCAATTTAAAAAGGTCTTTATTTTGGAAGGCAACATCAGAATGACTTGATATTGATATGGAATCACTGTGGGGTTGTATACAGTTGATCTAACATGGAATTACCCTGTGGAAACAGCAATTTTCTATTTTAGAGCATTTTGAAATCACTGAAAGTTTGGTCGTATATGGACTTTTTGAAAGGCCTTTATTTTGGAAGGCAACATCAGAATGACTTGATATTGATATGGAATCACTGTGGGGTTTTATACAGCTGATGTAAAGTGGAATTACCCTGTGGAAACAGCAATTTTCTATTTTAGAGCATTTTGAAATCACTGAAAGTTTGGTCGTATATGGACTTTTTGAAA